GGGGGTAACGGTAGACCAGAATACAGAGGCCCTCGAAGGATGTTTTGTTGCCAGTTTTGTGTGCACTGTACAGCTACCTTAACAACGATGCCATCAAGTTGATAACATTTGCGGACGATTTGATCATACCAGGACTCGTTCAGCTGACCATGGGGGGACTTTTTCGCCAAAATTTTATATCAGTCTTTTCGGAGAGGTGCGAGAAATCACAAATAGCTTTTAAATGCGAAACAAGCAATCAATTAATCTGTTGATGACTTCGGAAGAAAAAAGAAATCGCCTTTGCTTTCAATCAATTTAAAAGAAAAAGTGAACAGAGTGGATGGTTGGCAGGTGCTCCGGGGTGGTTTGCCCCTTCTTTCCTATCAAACAACTATCGTCCTTATCTCTCCTTCTTTTTTGTGTATGTTACTGTCTTGTAAGACATCTATTCTTCAGCAGTTATATGACCTTATTGTATTATAAGTGCCGTAAAACTCTTACTAAAACTAAAGAATAGACCGAGCAAGTGTTCGATAACATGTAGTCATTACAGTATATATATTAGTATAAGATATTTCTTTCGACAACTGTCTCGGCTGGCATGCCCACGCTTCTCTCCAGTACAAAACTTGAACAAAAGACGTTTCGTCTGAGAAAGCCCATGTATTTTAAAGCTGATAAAGATGGTAGCTCATTAATAGCATCTTTATACCAGCCTTAACATACCAGTGCCAAACATAGTCTCTAAATGAAGTACAAGAAAGAAACATCAGTGCATGCGAAATGAGGTGTCTCCGCAAAACCATCAACGCCACCAGAAGAGACCGTATAAGAAACGAAACCATACTTCTACAAACTGGAATACCACCAGTAATAAAATTCAAAGAGAGTCAGAGTCAAATGGTTTGGACATCTAACCAGAATTCCCCAAGAAACAACTAGCGGCTAGAGTTTACACTACTCGAGAATCCAGCTTCAAATCAAGAGGAAGACCAAGAAAGACCAGGCTGGATGGAGTTAAAAAGGTCCTGGAACAACAGAACATCTAGATCTATCACAGACGCTACACACCTAGCACAGGACCGAAACCTGCACCTCCTCTTTACATCCTAAGGAAACCAGAGGAAGGAAAAAATAAAAAGTAAGTAAAACGATGGAATGCCTGTCCAAGAGCAAATGTAAGTCCAAATGTATAGATCCATGAGTGTCATGCTCATGGTATGCTGGCACAGGGATTTGACAACTTAAAATGGTGTTTAAATACTAATGGAATCACTTGAAAAATTTCAAAAGGCTAATTGCATTTCATCTTTCTTTGAACAGAGGGCCTGTGTCTAAAGAACTTGCTTGTGATTGGGTAGACACTTTTGCGTAGACTGGGGTACAATACAGACATTTGGAGCCCCCTCCTACCTTACCAACACACACACACACACACACACACACACACACACACACACACACACACACACCACTTTGCAGGTGCATGAATTGATATGATCATGCTTTATGATAATAATATTGATTGGGAATGACCTCAGCGTGTGAGGGTGGGGTGATGTGCTGGCTATTATCAGTTTTAAAATGGCTGTGCTCCACAGAAGGGAAAAGAAGCCAATGTATTAGAAAGGGTTAGATCTAGAGAAGGCGCAAAGAGAGAAGTGACTTCCTGGTAAGAGGATAAGAGGAACCGGAAGAAGTTACACGATGCGTTCTTCTGGTGATTAAAAACATGTCATAATATTGTAAATTTAAATACTACGTCTCAAAATTGTATATTAGAAAACAACCCAAAAAGCAACAACAAACACACACACACACACACACACACACACACACACACACACACACACACACACACACACACACACACACACACACACACACACACACACACACACCACCACCCCCCCCCCCAAATCATTTGTACTGTCTGGACAAGAGATTCTCTGAAAAAAAACTCACTTACACCTACTATTTCCAAATAAAACAGACAGGAGCAATAAAAGCAAAATATCAAAACAAATATTAACATTTAACAGTCAAATCAGAAGAAGTGCCAATCACAACAGCAGCAACAACAACAACAACAACAACAACAACAACAACAACAACAAAACAACAACAACAACCAGAACAGAAACAACAAGAACAGCAATGATGACGATGATAATGAAAATGATAAGGACAATGGTAATGATAATGATAATGGTAAGGATAAAGATAATCAACAACAACAACACGCAGACGAAGGAAGTATACAGGGCATTTTCCTTAAAAAGAGAGGCTCTTATTATGCCCCGCAGTGACCAGTCATTACTGGCAAAAATCAGGACCGGTCACTTCTCTGGGCTGCGGGCCTACAAAAATAGAATAGACAGAACATCGGACCCAACCTGTCCATTGTGCAGCGAGGAACCCCAAGATTTGGAGCACTGGCTGCAGAGATGCCCCGCCACAGAGGCCCGGCGGTGGCATCTCTTCGGGGGGGGGGGGGGGGGGGGGGGGGATTCCGGGAGGTTAGACTGCCTCACCCGTTACCCAAGGGAGGCGGTGGCCCTGGCGAAGAGCACGCTCCAAACATTTCGAACGGATAGGCTACCACACACACACACACAACAACAACAACAACAACAACAATAAGAATGATAATCTATGATTTCTTACATGTGGATGGTTGTTTTCTATAGCTGAAAAAAAAACTACGTAACGTAGAACCATGAAAAAAATACTGAAGGTAGATTCTAGTTCAAAGACCAAGCTAAGTTTCTATCAATTCAGTAAGTGCTTGATTTCGCCTAAACAAACAAACAAAAAAATTTTAATAGAAAAATAGAAAACACTATCGGCCGTTTACAATTTTCCCGTTCGTTATTTCAATTCAGTGTTCAAGACATATTTCGTTTTCCATGATATAAAATTGTTCTTCCGCCGGAAATAAATCTTCTTTGGGCGCCAATATTGAGATGTTACATGTACTATGTTACGGATCGCTTACTAAGAGTTACTTTTCTGTGGTAGTTAGACTTAGAAGATACATCATTGCGATGGATCTAGATCCAGAGATACTATGCCACCAAACGGCAGGTCTGATTATGATTGGCACCTGTGCTGTGGCTAAGTCTGTGATAGATTTTAATTTAGAGGCTGTGCTGTGGCCAAGAGACGAAGACAGAGACAGTATAACAGGTGTACAGTGTGTGTTATACGGGGGTGCCCACTACGCTGGATCGGGCCGATCGCCCAACTCGGTCGCCTGAAACTGAAAATAAACACGTTTGTTTTTGAGGCGATCGAGTCGGGCGATCGGCCCGATCAGCCGATCCCATCCGTAGTGGGCACCACATATTAGTTAGAGTTAAATCTATCTAGACTGGATCTAGATGAGAATAAAATCACTATGCCACCCAAACGGCGAGCCATTGTACAAATGACACCTGTGGCTAAGAGGTAAAGGCAGAGTACATCTAGATAAGGTGTGAGCATTGAAAATACAGAGGGAAAAGAAGAACATTAAGTAAACACTGAGGAAGAAGAAGAACATTAAGTAGACAAAGAGGAAGAAGAACATCAACCTGATACTGATAGAACTACGCTCCGTAGAAATCCACCAGCCTTTACATACAATGATGTTGGTCTAAGTCGTGACAATATTTGCTCTATTGGACAAATGACAAATGTG